TCTCATTGAATTGTTAAAAACATGTTGACAGGAAACCGCGCCGATCTGGAGATTTAAACAGTTATGATTGATATATCCTACAGTTATATAAATATAAATAATCACATATAGATTTAAATAATATGAAATCGTAAAATAGATTGTTCGTGTATAAACTATACGCATTAATGAATGCACATGTGCATGCCTTTTAATGATTTTTAAATGAGAAATAATTGTCGAATATATCGTTATTAAATATCTGATTATGTAGTCGGTAAAATTGTTGTTATCGTGATACATTTTATGTTTATTGTACCATAAAACAAATATTGCATAAAACCGTCACTCTAAATTGATAATTTATGAATACTATCTCCCTAATTACTACCGCTCATCTTGCAACTGATTGTTCCGAGATATAATCTTAACGCAGATTTAAGATGACTTCTTCGCCGTCGTTAGCAAGATAAGAATATCACGATAATGGCAGAGAATTTCGCAAGAATCTCTTAATAGACTTGCAAACAATTACAAGATTCTCTTTCTTGATTTGATACCTTCTGTTTATTTTTGCTGCTTGAAACATGCAATAATAACCTGAACAAAATCTGATACTATGAAGTCGTCGATAATAAGCCTAAATAATAAATAATTAACTGAGTTTATTCTTCAAATTGTAATATGAGAAATATCTACTTCACCCTTCATTAGTTTTACGCATCGCTACTTTATGCGCTACTCTTTGGATTTATTTCACTCATTACTTCTAAGTGACAGGCAACCTCGCAGAATGTTAGGTCTTGAGAGAGATTCGTAACTGAACAACTGTCCATTCCTCTCTGTTTCTCTCTCTCTCTCTCTCTCTCTCTTCCTTCTTCTCTTTCAAGTAAAGTAATGGCAAGTCACCAGACTTAATGCATTTCGCGACAAATTGCTTCAGCCGGTGTCCCTTGTAATCACGTAAATTGTCATTATCTTAACTGTTTCTGTTCAACACAACCGATTGCTCTGTCGGTTGCACAAGAGGGTGGAGAGTTTTCGGGATCTTAACGCCGTACATGCGTTATTTCGGCGAGAAATCGCACCTAGCATCGTGCCCTGGCATCGCATCGGGCTTGCCTGTGCGTTCATTCCTCCGCGAACGTGAAGTTAATTAAAGTAATACTCGGTTAATCGGTGTCGCACGCCTGTAGAGAGAGTCCGCGTGCTCGCGCGCTCATTATGTCGCCCTTTATAAATGCAAGCGCGCAGCTTGGCGCCCGCTTGGTGTGATTAAAATTTAAAGCGACGCACACGACATTTGCGCTCCGACGAGACGAGCTTGGCGAAAATATCGACCCTCCCGTTTCTCTTTTGAGAAGCATATTTTTTCCCCGCTGCGCTTCGCGTCAAAGAGCATATACGTTCATTTGCTTATTCGCATGCTAAGCATTACACTTTTTGTCGCATTCCGCAGAGAGGAAAGAAGACAAAGGGAATAACACTTCCGATCGGAGATAGTAAAATATTTCTTTACATCTCCGTTATATATACAATATTTTTGCATGGAAAAATCTGAAACATTTTCCGTCCAGCGACCGAACGGTTAATCCGATTACAACGATTTATGTTACAGAATATAAAAAAAAAGACGCGTCCCATTTAGCTTCTGTGCGAGCAATTACAGAATTGTTTGTCCGAAATGTTATAAATATTCGTATATAACTTATTGAAATATTATTTTTATTCATTTTACCTGTAGTTTGCATATCATCGTTTTGTATATATTTTTCCATATATACTCTGCATATCAAGTGTATAAAGCACTATGTCGCGAAATACAGAGTGACACCCAAAGCTTGTATAACGAATTCGATGAAATATCGACGTTTCAATCCTCCGAGTTCTTTTAATCTTTTTTTTTCTATCTCAGTTGCACTGATAAATCCATTTAACTGTCCAGAGCAGCGAGACATCCATTAAGCTTCCTTTTTTTATATCAAAGAATGGATAATAATCAAGAAAAGAGAAATATGTATGTGTTTATTAGCTTCTTCCTATACATATGTATAATTCAAGTATAGTTCAGGATTTTATCGAAATTTAAAAAAAATGAATATCAAAAGAGAGTTTTGTGAAATTTTCCTTCCGTAAAAATATACGGAAGCCAGTTTGATTAAATTCCCATTGGTACGAATTTTTGCTCGGTCAGGTTTCAGATGAGTCACGTTTGATTTTGTACGGTACTATGACGCCGTAACGAGTGCGCCACACGTCGTATTATGCGAAATAAATCAGCGCCGATGCCGGATTATGTGAGACATTAATCTTTTCGAGACGCGTGATTTTTCACCCCTTATTGATCTCCCAACAAGAGCAATGACTTTTGACGTTTCACGGGCTTGCGGAGACGGTTACATGTTCGCGATGAAAAATTCATGAGACGCTATGTAACGCGTATGTAACACCTTGCCATACATAAGACATAGTTTGCTGTAATTTCTGATCCATATCGACGTCGTGTCACGTGAATCACATAACAGTTGTAAAAATATTCCATTAAATTATGAATGGACACTTGCTGCTGTTGCAGAATGCATATTGCATATAAGTATACGATATCGTAAAGTAATGTGTTTTTTTTTAAATTATATATTTGCAATAATAAATATTTTAATTGTAAAAATATTCTTATTTAGTTCTCGTGAATTACTGAAGATTAATAAGATATAGTCCTCGTCATATGTAAAACATATACATACATATTATATCTTATACTCAAAACGAACTTCTTTCTAACATGTTTGTAGATATTTTATTACTCTATTTTTAGCACTTTATTTAAAGGCGCATCGTTTAAATTCGAACGAATTGTGTTGATAAAGCTTTGTGAAAAGCTATTGGCGCGTAAGCATTTATTCGAGATATTTGTGGCTATTTAAAAAATTGCGAGAATATTAGTTTCACTTTAGCACACAAAATCAATTTATTTAAAAATGCAAATATTTTCTCAGTTATATAACTCGAAACGGAATAAAAACAGCGTGCGTTAATTTATGATTTATTGTTTTTCAAAATGTGTACAGTTGATACTGTCTACGTTAATTGATACTGAAATTTTAATAATAAAAAATTAATTAGCACAACTGTCGATCATTATTATTGCAATGATTTTTGTATTAAGATTGCGTAAAATTTTTAATTTATAAAGCCTGTTTGTATCTTCAAATAAGCTGGTTACAGTCGTGTCATTGCAAGCCACAATGACATATGACAACTTGTATAAACTACCTTTGATTTACTCACAAAATTGGCAATCGCTAAGCTAAACTGCAAAATGTTGCGATGTTAAGCCACATAAGCTCGCGCGACTCTTGCTTTCTGTTCAGCGTGCGGATTAATGACCACGATGCAAATTCACGGATGAATAGGTGCAAATCAATTACGAGATATATATACGAGATAAATTAGCAAACGCCGAGTTAATCGATTTGTTCAATCTATTCGTCTCGAAAGTTCACTGAATTTATAACTCGCTTCGAAGATTGGATTTTTTGAAAGTGGATTTTTTGAGTATAATCTGCGTATAATATAAGCAAACGAAGATGAAAGATTTTGTTTACATCAATTTTTTAATATAAAATAATAATTAAATTGATTTGCATTAAAAGGAGCAACGAGATTATAATATGTCGATAAGAAATTTTTTTAAACGTGTTTCCGCGATTTCATGCAAACTGTGCGTCATGTTATTTGATAAGACTTCTGCTAAATGCATATTTTCAATTATTTGATCAAAGTTATTTCAGAACGATGCGACACTAAAATGAAAACTGCGTCTCGCTCATTAATTCTTTCTCTGCATTTTCTTCGTACATAACGAGCGTTAACTAGATTTGCCTTTGCATTCTTCTCAAATTCGCTAATAGCGAGAATTACGAATGCGTCTCGGCACACATACACATACTTATCCATTAACCTCGTGCGACGCCGTAATTTATCGGAGCGTGTAGTTAGTCGCGAATGGAAGCCATGCATATAACGTAATCTCTAATGAGGAGCCATGTCGAGACTAAATTTTTGTTCCCTTGATGTGATATATATACGCCTATGTACATATGTATATGCATTATACGCGAGCATATGTACTGCTTGTACACTGCGTGTACAGGCGTGTTTTATACTAGGTGGAGTAATTAAAACTACTGTGCGTTTACCGATACTGACAGTCAATATTCAGATTAAATAAAAACTAAAAACAAATAATAAAATAAATTATACAGTCAATCAATGTCATGCGAACTGTGATCGAGTTACTACATAAATAAAAATTAAATTGCATCGTGCGCTCGAGCCATTTTGTATAACAATCGATATATCACAGCGCGCATATATATATATATATATTTTTTTTTTCTTTTAATCAAAAATACGCTAAAATTGTGTGCGACACTATCGTATTTTAATTCGCGGTTTAATAGACTTGGAAGGACTTACCTCAGGAAGAGAAGGGAATGTCGTCGTTAAAATGGCACATCCATCCTCGTTGTCCTCGCTGTTGTCGTGGAAGCGACAGTAACTTACTCGCAATTTAATTGTTGCTCGTCGCTTTACGCATCTAACTGGTAGAGGTAGAGTCTGACTATAGAAGTGATGAAGAAACAGAGTGCAATGCGACGGGGGGGGAAACGGGAGTGCGGTGAACAGAAGGAAAAGAGCTTAACTTTACTTCAGGAACTTTGGTGAGCGGGACCCATCCCGCGGGAAATCAATGTCTAGCTGTTCAAAGGGAAAAGTCGAAGGAGGACGAGTGATCGTGTATGTATGTATGTATGTATGCACTTGTATACGAGTCGTTTTATGTGTAATGGTTAATTTGATAACCAATTCGCACTGGCTAGCTTCTCTGGTCTCTGTTTCTACTTTTGTGACTCCACTCTGCTCGCGGACTTTTCGTCCGTTTCGTTTTTGCTGATTGAACTTCAAGATAGTTGGGATGCTTGTACAGAGTAAAGGGAGGATGAAGAAACACTTCCGAGTAATTAAATAGGAGATCTGCATTTTACAAAGCAATAAGTTACACGAGAATCCTTACATGAAACCAAAGCCCTAATTTGAGTCGTGGCACGCGTTTCTCTGTCGTGCTCCTTTCCTTTCCTTCCTTTTTACACGATGTGATACAAAGGTGAAGTAAAGAATAAAAAGCGCAATGTGTCCTTTTCTAAAAAGTGAGCTAATTCTACAAAAAAATATTCGCACGACATATATGTATATCTACGCTGTCGAACAAAAGCACGAATATCCTATAAAAGAGGTAAAGTCTCGCTACATCGATATTATTAAAATCAAGAAGAAGGTTTTAATCTATTGCTTAAAATTCGTTGCAAAATATTTGCTTATATCTTTCTAATAAAAAGATATAAATTTGTCTTTGTCAACATTAAAAATGCTTTTTCTGTCAAATCCTATTTCGACTTTTGTTCGGCAGTAAATGTACGCAATTTCATCAATATTCGCATTCGCGCTTATGAAGAAATGGCTCGAATTTCTGTGGAAGACTGGAAAAGGACGACGTCGTTGTCATCGACGGTTTAAGAAGAGAAAAAAAAGAAGAAGAAAAACGGACAAGAGATAATAGCACCGCAGACGCACGACTAAGTGCGACGTGCAAAGTTAGCCACGACATCGAGGTTTTTTCTGAGAATTATACATAGTTAGCACCTAAAAAGTTTATCATCGCTCGCAGAGAGAGAGAGAATGTCTATGTGTGAGCACACAGTTAATTAGCTTAGTGATCTTAGCTTGATCCGCAGCTCGAACTTTACTTCATAAGTTTGATTTCGTCATTCAACTAGCCTCCGCGCTAGTTTTTATTCACTCTTGCGGTAGTTTTATTCCTCACGACAGCGAAAAAAGACGCCAGCGGCGTCGTTCAAACAGCACGATTAAAGTTCATCGCGATTTCGAGCTATTATACCGTCCTTCGTATTCTCTTCACCAGTCTTTCGTCTCTCCGGATTATGATCCTAGTTTGTCACTTTTTTATGTAAGTCTCGGTCGTATACGTTAAATACGAGGCGGGTTCACGTTTTGTTCGACGTTTCGGTACGCAAAGATAAATCCATCATCTGGTCCATTGATCCTGTTTCAGTCGTGCCTTCGTCATTTTGATCGGACTCGAGGCCCGATATTGGCTCGGATCAATCACTAGAAAAACAAGGAAATTTTTCTTACAACTTGAACAACGAAAATTATTCAACATTATCATACATGAAAAATATTTGAAAATCTCACATTTAAAATTATCTTTTTATTTTGTATATTCTTAATTATTTGTATTTTTTATTACATTATATTTTTCTCCTATTTCTTACCTATCGCTATTCTCGCTCGTGGCTTCCTCGCTACAGTCCAAGTCGAGCTCTCCTTGAATCGCGCTCTGCAAGTCGTCGATCCTCTGTAGCGCCAATCTGAGATCATCTCTGGCCACTTTGGTCTCAGCCTCTGCGGCTTCCAAAGATTTCTCTGTATCGCGACGAGCACGTAGGGCCTCCTGTTCACGCGATATCGCTGAGCTGGCTTCGTCTCGTGCATCGCGCAAGGATCGTTGCAGTCGTCTCGCCGCGTCTTGAGCAGTCTGCTCCTTTGTTCTGAGTAAGGCTGATTCCGTCTGTAATTTATCTACGCTTTCCTTCAACCGTGCTATTTGCGTCTGCAAAATTAAAGGCAAATAATTACAGTCAGTCAATTAAAAATATACATGTGTATTTATTAATTTGACAAATTATGTGTCACCATATTACAATATTCAATTAATTTTTTAAAATATTAGTCTTATATACCCGATTCTTTCTAAGACTAAATAGATTGTTTTTAAATAATTAATTTTAATGAGTTTGCTAATTTGTGACAATACCTCCAAACGCGCTCTCGTGGTTTGCTCCAGTTCGAGCTTGCTCTCGAGCTCCTTGGCTCGAAATTCCAGGCGTCTCGTAGCGAGACTGTTTGCCGTAGGGTCGCCGAGTTGCTCCACTGATTCTAATCGTTGCGCCAGTTCCGCTAATTGGTCCTTCAATGATGACTTTTCCGCCTCGAGTGCGGCAATTTGAACCTGAGCCTCTTGCAATTGGCTTTGCTCCGAAGAAACTTGTTGCACGGCGGCTCGATATTTCTTCAAGACCTTTGTGATCATAATAAGAGGCGTGTATAAAATCATTTTACATTTATATAATTTCTATTTATTTTTAAAATATTTTGTTTATTTAAAATTATCACAATTATTAATTATAAAAATTTAAAATATTATTTTATAAGTCTTAAGAGTGATATTAATTATAATGATCGATTAGTTTGACTTGAATGAATTTGCTGGTTTTTTGGACTCTAAATGAAATAACATACCTCAGCAAGCTCCTCTTCGTTTTCTTCTAACTGAGACAACAGCTCCGTGCGTTCGCGATTGGCCGCATTGGCCCGCTCTTCCGCTTCGGAACGTTGTCGCATAGCTTCCTCCAGACTCGCTTGCGTTTCGTTCAGTTCCTGTTCCAACGCCTGTTTCGCTTTAATCGCCACTGCTCGAGCGCATTCCGCGTCTTCCAGCTGATTCTTCAATTGACGCAGCGCGGCTTTGCCCGTCGAATCGCCTTTGGATCTCTCGAGCATCGTCTGCGCGTCCCTGAGTAAGGCCTTTGTCCTCTTCAAGTCTCTCTTCAGTCTGTTTAATTATACACGCAACGCGTAAATTATTTATTGAAATTAATTTTATATTTTAGATAAGACGGACGCTAAATGAATAGGAACGAGTTCAGAATTTTTCACACTCACCTCTGCATAGTCTCGGCTTCAGTCGCGCGATCGGCTCGATCTTGTTCCTCCAAAGCTACCAAACGGCGTTCCAATTCGTGCTTCTCCCTTAAAAGAATCGTCCTCTCCTCGTGCTCGTTTTCCAACTGCGACTCGAGAGCCTTAACTTTCTTGTGCGCGTTTCCGCGAACGTCTTCCAGTTCCTCGTCGCGCTGTTGCATCTCTTTACGCATCTCCTTGCGCTGTTGTTCGATGCTCATCTCCAGCCTGAGTTTCGCCTGCTCGAGCAGCTGCACCTGACCAGCTAAATCGTCCAGTTCCTCTTCTTGATCCTTGGCGCGTTTCTCCAACTCGTGTTTCGCTTTCTTCAGCTGCGCCACTTCCTCTTCCGTTTTACCGCCGAAAGTGAGCTCCTCCAATTCTTGGGTCAACGTGCGTAGTCTCTCCTCTTTCAGTTCAATCTCTAGTCTTGCGTCCTGTTATAAAAATGGTAATATATACAGATACATATTCATCTGTCTGAAGCTGGGAAAATAAAAAAAAAATGGTAATAAGAAAAAATATATATGTACTCACGCTTAGATTTTGTTCTATTGTGAACTTTTCCGCGATCGCAATCTCCTTTTCTCTCGCTAATCTTTCACGCTGTGCTTTCTCTTGTCTAAGATCGTTCATCAGGTTCTGAGTTTCCGAATCGAACCTAAATACATTTATTACAATTATTAAATGAGAAAAAGATAAAATTTAATAACTTCAATATTACAACGGTAATAACTGTATTTTATGTAAAAAATAAAAAAAGTTTAAATAGATATTTCGAAGATTTTTTAATAATGTTTAGTAAAAATACCCATAACGTACAAATCAATTACTTTGAACCGTTAATTAAAATAAGTATTAGAAAGAACGGGCTGGATTTCGGGAGCGAGTCCAATTTCGCTGCTTGTAACGAGATCGGCTTTAACCGGTGCGCTGCATTTAGATTAACAGGAAGCTATCTTCGCGAACGGTCAATCGTGATTTGCAGGCGCACCGGACGCGTCGCTGAACGCTGGCAGTATAGATCGGGTGGCGTTACTGGCCTGGCATCGAGCCAGAGACACTTGTTGCCGCGAATGAAATGAGAATAGAGCAAGCTACTATATACCCGACACCGACTCGTCGACCATTAGCCGTGGATTAAACACGCCCGCGAGGCACCATATCTCAAAGCGCGACAAACTAGCACAATTCATACTATCTCTTATTGTTGTAGCTTTGTTTGACACGACGAAACTTACTTGCGCTGTTTCTTTTCCAGTAAATTGTTCCTAGCGGTCTGTTCCTCCAGCAGTAATCTGAGATCGTGCATCTCGCCGTTCAGTTTCTGAACTCGTCGCTTCCACTGTCCGACGACTTGTCGCTGCTCCTCCACCTCTTCGTAAGCATCGGCCAACTGAGCGAAAACATGACGGTGATAATGATGACGTTTGTTTGTGTGATTACGAGCGTAAAATGTTGACGTACCTTCTTCTCCAACTGTTTCTTGAGTCCCACCAGTTGCTCCAGATCGTCCTCGTGCTGTTGTGCCATTTTCCTCTTCGTGAACTCGAGCTCTCGAATGGCATTCTCATATCGTTGCCTATAAACACCGCCGTCCTCGCCTTCCTCGCCATCGGAAGCTACCCCGTTCAAATCGGCAGCTCTCGCGTACAGCAGTTCCATCTCCAGCCGTTCGGTCGTCTGCTGAAGATTCTTGTTAGCCTCGGTCACATCCTGCAACTCCCTCTCGAGTCGCAGACGCTCCGACGTTTCGGCATCGATCCTCTCCGCCGCTAAGGTTGACGTAGAATGCTCCTCGGCGAAGTCTGCTGTCATCTCGCTCAGCTTAAACAGAGAAATACATGACTTATGTAAGAACATCGAGTCGCGACACGCAAACGACACGGAATCACTTATGCCTTATACGATTACTCTTTTCCTGTTCTGCGTCTATAAAATATCTTATCTGTCTATGATTTCTAAATAGAAATTTTTTTATAAATTGTGTAATCTCTGATTTTTCCTCAATGGAAATTTCTAGCCGTCATTTTCACTCTGCGTCATTACCTCCTGCATTCCCTCCGATAAAGTGCCATCGTCCGAAGCGCGGGACAAAGACCGCCTGGAGGGACTCTTTGTCACGCTGTTCGATCTACTATAGTACTGATAGCCGCGTATCATAATATTCGTGGCGCTCTGACTTCTCCCGATAATGCCGCGGGGCTTATCTCGCGACAAACTTAACGTCTCGTCGTTAGCGTCGTCTCTGTGACCGAGGCTCCGCCACTCGTCCATGATATGATCGGTACGTTTAAGAAATTGGGAGATCTTCGAGGAGAGATACGACGAAGCGGTGGAAGGTTCCAGGTGGGACGCGGTAGGTCGAAAGGACTGCTTCACCCTCTGTCGTTCGCAGCCGAGGACGAAGTTCAGACTCGCGTCAAACACGACCGGAGCCTGCTCCTTCACCAGGACTTTCTCCATCGACGGCGAGCGCGTGCTCTCGCGAGGAAACGTTCTTCGTGGCGGAATCGAGAAGCTGGACGAGTCCAGTTGGGAGCCACTTCGCGACGAAGCAACGGACGGCGATCTCATTCTAGCGGACAAGGACTTGGCGCGATAAGAGACACTGGAGGCAATGCTGCAAGGAGAAGGACTTCGCATCGAGAGACTCGAATTGCCGGCGACGTATCTCTTGCTAGTTGATCTCTTGACGCAATGCGGCGGCAAGGGTGGTCTCTTCGTCAGGATCCTCGCGGAATCGGGCGAGTTCGGCGAACCGTTGGTCAGATTGCTCATCGAATCGTTTCTTTCGAGCGTTTCGTCGGAGCTGGTGTTCTCCAACGCGTTCAGATGCGTGTCTACCCAATTAGGGAGGGAGGGTGTATCCGGGTAACTTGTCGGCACGGAAGGCATCTTGACTCGATTGATCCAGGAAAGTTAACTCGGGAATATTTCGATTTCTAATTTATCTGATCATGAAGCGAGCGATGGATTGAATTTCCCGAAACAGAATCGTCGCGGTTCGAGTTTCAAGTTGTTTTCTTCGTACTTCATAGCTTCGTTCGTACTACTGATTTAACGATCGAGACGGAGATGCGTTATATTACTTCGACGAATTGCGTAACGTCAAATGACAACGAAGACGCCTGTGTCGGCAAGGAGTCGCGATGCAACTGCCTCTTCCTGGGTCGGTCGACTCGCCGCCGAAGGCGTCCGTTAGAGGAGGCGGTCACCTCCGAGTTATTCTAAGGGGAAGACGGCGAGAAAGAGAGGACTAGCGAGAGTGATAAAGGCGGAGAGAAGCGGGCGAGACGGCGATTTTGGCTATTCGCCAGATTCTCCGTAGATTTCGTGAGAAAAGTGTATCGAAAGTAAAGGTGGAAGGGAGAACGTAACAACACTCTCTAGCGTTTCGACAGGGGATCCAAGAGTTATATCTTTTGTAAAAATAGAACGGATGAGAGAAATGTCAAAAAGAAAAAAAAATTGCCGCGTTGTAACAAAATAAAGTAGCTCGAGAACATTTCGACGTTAATGACATAGGAAGAAATTAGGCTGAGATTTATTGTCATTCATTAGTTGCTGAATGATAATAAGCGCTCATTAAATAATGTGACTCTCTCTAGTCAATTATTCCCGATTAAAGCAAGTGACGCGGAGGAGGTATTTTCTCGAGCAACTTATAAGGATGCGCGGACTGTTTTAGCGTGTTTTTTTCCTTTTTATATATTAGTGGCCAACTCTGGAATGGTAATGCAACGCGTGCGGTTTACTGGTCGAGTCACGATAATAGTCGCACACGCTCGACACGAGCCGTCTGGCGTGCTTAACCCAATTGCGCGGCGTGCGTGCCACGAATGCCTAAACGGGCAGTTTGGGCTTAACGTATCCTTCGAGAGTGCCTCTATTAGAACCCATCACGCGGTCACACGCGAAATCATTGCGGTAGAAGCGGAGAGCAGCAATTTGCAGCACCACGGGCCGCCGCTCAAGTATAACAAATTTTTTTTTTTTTTTTGAAGCCGCGACCATTTTTTCTTCAGCCTCGCAAGAAACATTGCGTAATTGCACCAACCGAAAGGGGATATTCTTCTCTCTTGCGTTGCTTTATAATATTCGTTGCCGTGTGTCGCAACTCACCTTTGCCTCTAATTTGTCGTTGTCGTGTTTCAGATGATTACGTTCCTGCTCCAAGCGCTCCACTTTTGCCTTGAGAAGCTCGAGCTCTTCCTATTGAAATGAAAAAGTGCATTAGAAAACAATGAGAGCGGTGGATAAATACAGTAATAAATATATACATATAATACATAGATAACTGTTTTTCTTACCGTTCGCGCCTTCAGCTGATCCTCAGTTCGATGAACATTCAACAAGGGCGCGACTTTCACGTACAATCTCCACCAAGGCCATTCTCGCACGGACATTAGCTTCCTCACGTTTCTCTGGATGCAGCGCACTGCGAGATCTTGCAGCTGTAAGACAAGTCAATTTTTATTTGCTTCCAATCATTATTATGGATTAATACTGAAAAGTATTACAAGTGATCAGCGAAGCGAAGAAAATGTAAGAAGTGAGGTACAAGTATAATATTTTTTACATTTTTTGTTCCTTCGGTAATTCGGTAAATTAAAAACCTAAAGACTTTTATAATAAGAAAGGCAAATGTAAAATTTCAGAGCTATTAGAACGAATTAGACATTTTAAATGCTGCGATTTCTGCATTAATCGTGCAAAAATGAGCGAAAGTGTTCGCTTGCGGTTTCTCATACGTAACAGAAAAGATTATCCTTCTAAATATAATTATGAAGTTAGAATATTTCAAATTCACAAGAGAGGAAAATAAGCGACCCACTTTCAAAGTGTTGAGTCTGCGCCGTGCTAGATAGCCTCTGCATCTCGCCTGCAGTAAAATGATGTGGCCGGTGAGTTTCTCGTCCCTCTGAGCCTCCAGTCGTTCCAAGGTGCCCGATCTGAAGAATATCTGCGAACAAGAATAGAACGTTCCTTCAGTTTTCCCATCGATGAATACATAATTGGCATATTGAATGCCGGTGTTGTTATACGGCGGTGTATATTACTGTTAATTATCCTATCTTAATCAAGCGCGATTTATCGAGAGAAATAATCAGCTATTAATAACTAGCAACGTACATCGCATATGATGTAAGACGAATATCGAGCCTATTTTCATGGGCGATGAAAATGTTAAAATACGCATGGCATAGTTTCCTACTACTTTCATGCACATTTCTTCGTATGGAAATTAAGGATAAATGCATATAGCTACTGGAGCGTAAAGGCGCATCGTGGCATCTCGATATTGCATTACTTTTACATAAGACTACGCAATGAATGAACTGAGTATTAATATAGTTACGTTAACACACACTTTCAATTATATGTATAATGCGGGTCAATTTTTATTAAGTGTATATTTCGAGAGATTCTAATCATTCTAATCATAAAATAGCGATAGTCGTCGTTGACGTAAAAATAAAATATTAATTAAAAAAAGAGAGTTACTCAATAGATACCGTGGATCTTCTTTCTGTTAGTACATCTTATTAATATTATCATATAAAAAAATCGCGATTTTTCCGCAATATGAACGATAAACGCGAGCGCACATTGGGTACGCGGAGCAACTAATGCGTCCCAATTATTCAATCAACCTTTTAATTATTACCGAGGACTATCCAGTATTTAAAACTAACAACGCGCGAGATCATAATCATTCGACACGGACCTGCCGTCCATCTTCCGAGCATCTGTCCTCCCGACAATTATCAGTACTGCTAGCATCGTCGGACATCAAGGGACTATTCCGTTTAATGACGGCCTTTTTCGTTTCAGGCTCGGCCAGCCTGCAAACGATCGTCGGCTCAAAGATCTTCACGTCGTCGTCTTGATTGATCCTACCGAAGTACTGCTGCCCCTTGAACTCACTCGTCTCTCTCTGACCCTGATTCTCCATAGTTTCCTTCCATTCCACTTCGTTCTCGTTGCTCATGTGACCGCTGTCCTCCGAACAGTTTCCATCCGACACGTATCCACTGTACTCATTCCCGGTCTTGGACTCGTTCTTCTTCAAGGCAGGTGTCTCGATGATAGGAACGTCTCCGGACCGCGGCTTGATCAAATCCCCTCGCGAGGATTCCTTGGCGACTTCGGCGTTCTTGCAATTGAAAAAGTTCACCAGATGCTCGATATCCTTGGCTCTTTTACCGACGACGCACTGCTTCCTCTTCGTCTCCTGCGCATCGTCGACGACGTCGTTCCCAGTTCGCGTCGTCTTCGACAGGTTGACGGTCATCCTTCCGGAATTTGCAGCGTGGATCGTCGTTTTCGCGTCGGTATTTTCATTCGTGATTCCTCCGCTCTGTTTCTCCCAATTGCGCCTCAATTCTTGAATGGAACTCTCTTTGTTTCTCCTCGAATCCTTAGTAAATTCATCCGGCTTTTCGCAGCTCTTGATTGGATTAGACTTAGATTCACTTGTAACAGATTCGTTCCTCTGCAAATCCATTTCTGATTTGACTTTACAAATATCTTTACAAGTCATCGTTCTTTTTCTCTTCGCTTTTTCATCAGCCCTCGATACTTGATCGCTCTTATCATCCTCAGAGTCACACTTCTCTACACTAATATTATTCGTGAGCAAAGTCTCTCGATCCTCGTAGACAGTTTCCGTTCTACACGGAGGAGCGACATTCACGACGTCCAGTGACTCCTTGGGCTCCAAATCGTTTTCTAATTGTGCCATCAGTCGCGCGGCTCTCTCCTCCAGATTGCTCATCGACGTCGACCTCGCAGAGTTGAATTTCGACGCGCGATCCAGAGTCTCGCGACAATTCTCATAAATCTGCTCGTCCAACGCGGCATCGAGATCGAGCTCGAAACTGATGATCGTCCGGCCGACTATCTCCTCGGCGCGATCTACTTGCGATAGATCGGCGAGAGATCGACCGAGACCGGTGGATCGGCTCGCCGGAAGCGGAATCTTGCTCGGCCTGGAGACTGAGTTTAGCCTCGCGGGCAAACCGGAAGTCTTCCCGCATTGATTGTTATCCGCTCTCGGGCTCCGAACATTCCACAGACTGGTAGATCTGTTGATGAGCGTCGGACCTTTTCCCGATAGTTCCGTCTTCTTCTCCGATCTCCTATCCGAGAAAATGGGAATCCATCGCGAACTGGTTGCGAGATGCGAAGTTTGATTGTCCGAGGATACAGAACTCAAACTGACAGAACGATCGAGGCCCTTTCGTCGAAGGGTCTCGGGTTTCGTCGGTCTACTTTCGGGTGTATAAGTGAGGCCTTTCTTCAGCAACGCTCTGTCCTCTAAAATCGTGCACGAGCTAGCCGATTTGCAGACCTTCTTCTTGTCACGTGCGGCAGGCGAGGCAGTTTTTGCCGCATCCGGTCGGGCTTCGTTCGGGGATCGTTTCGCAGGCTTCGAAGGCACAACGAGTCGAGATTTCGAGGAATCCGAACTGGTAGAGACACGTCTTGGTGGATTAATCGCGTCGTTAGGTGTCTTGATGGATATCTTCGAGGGCGTAGGTGGCTTTCCGGAGCGAGATGTTTTAATTGGGGTAATTATGGGACTCGTCGTTGTCTGATTCGATTGGATCTGTTTTCTAGCGGATGAAAGAGCCGCTTTTGATACATTCGGACTGCTCTTGGCCTTAACTAAACGCGAACCGCCGCCGGGCGTGCATTTAGATACGTTATCGAACATGTTGAGGAAAGATCTAAGGTCAGATTTGATAATGGAGTAAATAAGTCTTTTTATTTCTAATGGAATATCGTTATTTCTATTCCAATTCTAGTGTCTTTCTTTAAGATTTTTATATTGCTATAATAATAATAATAATGATTATTATTATTATTATTGTTATAATCAATCATCTTGTTCTTTCGAATATATCGCAATTTTTATGCATCTCCGAATTAATTGTTTGATACAATAAAAATTAACTTTCTCGCGTAATTTCCTTTCTTCATCAATTCAAATCCTTAACTTTTTGATATAACATTTCACAATTTCTTTCTCATAATTTGTTTTTGATGTAACTTGATAAAGATTGAAGGCGCGCACTCTCTTTCCGCTAAAATGAACGTAATGTTTTTTCAACTAAATGCCGATTAAGTACAGCTTTCATCACTTTCGAATTAATCGATAATTTTTATACGTTGGAGCATTTGTCATTTGTGAGCTGGTGAGACGGACGCGATTATAAACACAAATACAATAATATTCCGAGGATAAGTGTTTGTCGATTCAATTTTGAAACGTTTTACTCTAACGATTCAAAGTTTAAATACAGATTACACTTGTGTGTAACAAGCGCCTATTATTTCCGCCTCATCATCATTTCAAATAATGTCCTTTGCAATCTGCTCGCACGACATTAGGCAATTCGTTCGTTACTTCGCACACATATAAATAAATATATATTCTCATACGTATATATATAACACAATATACATAGAGGCTCACAATACAGTATTTTGAAAATGTGCAAAAGAGTCACAAATGTTCCGCAAAATTGAACGACATCCGTTACATAGTCACGCGCGAATTGTGTATTTCTAAAGTCTAAGGTTTGTCATCGGAGTCAGGTTTGTTCGTCGCACTTGTCACCTCGACGTCGCATCCCCGATCACTGACACCGCGATAACTCTCGCACTTGCATACGTTGCGGAATGGATGGTCGTTGATGGAGCCTCTTCCTCTCCTCTGCTGGGTAGAACGAGCGACTAAGTGCCGTAAAAGCCGCGTAAAAGTGTGTACGCATCCGACTGCGAGGGCAGAAGTAAAGAAGCAAAAGAGACGGCAGAGAGACGACGACAGGAGGGAGGGATAAAAGAGTGAGGGAAATAAAGGGGAGAGAGAGAAAGAGAGAGAGAGAGAGAGAAAGAGAGAAAGACCGGTAAAGGGAAAGGGGCAGATTATCTTGAGAAGCCGGTTACCACGCATCGGCCTGCAACTCTCAACTGGGCAGGAAGATGCAGCCGGTTAATGCCCGGGTGCCAGCTTATCATTTTCATTGAAGGGAGACGTCGCGTCTTTTTGCTCCGATAAATCGAAATAAATCGAAAGACGTAACAGAGTGAGAGATGACCGTAATGTTACGATTTATCGAGAGATTTCCAAAGCGAAATTACTGCGGAAGAAAGATTTTCGACTCTGATAGATGATAACGAGACGGACATGCAAACGTTAAAATTTTTTAAATAATATTTGTTAGAAAATACTTTCGTTCTATCGTAGATTTTATCTGAATTTATTAATAATATGAAAATGATTATGATAAATATTTATTTTTTATTCGATAAACCGATATCACGTTTCCTTACGGTGAAATAAATAGATGATTGAGAGATGCTAATAAACGCAGAGACGGCGCGTTAAATTTGCTGTGACTTGGTTAATTAAACGCGCAACAGGGATATTGTGTAAAGCACACTTCGCAATTCTGACCGCTTCTTTTCCTCTCCTTAATTACACGACGCGTTCGTCTGGAGATAAAACACCCGTTAAACGAATGTCTGTAGTCTGAAAGTCGACAGAAACGAAACATTGAGGTCCCTCTCTTAATCATCATGCGCGTTGACGTTTTAAAAGAAGTTTTTGCGAAAGAGCCTTTGCAACGTGCGCATGCGCTCTTCATTAATTTCGGCTAAGATGTGATATTTTCTACTTTGAGATAAAGTCACCGTTATGCTAATACGCCAATCAGCAAATACAAAAATATAGCAGGAAATATAAAAATATTTGAAGATTCTTTTAGATCTCTCGCTTCGCATGAGAGTCTAATTACACCCGAAAAAAAATTTGGTTACAGCGATGGGATCGTGTCTTCGTCTCTTTCATCTCTCAAATCGAAACACAGTCTCTTTGTATATATGCAGCATAAAAAGCTTATTCAGAATAGCTCGTTGACTAGTGATATAATCGATTAAGAGCGACGATGATTC